AGGTCGGAGAGCTGTGAGGGGATGTTGATTCCCTCACATGGTCCGCTGCTAAGCGATCGGCAAAGAAGTTGTCGATCGCTAGTCACTTGTTCACGAGGCAGTGGCCACTGCTTCATGACACAGTATTTCGAGCCCGGTTTGAGCTCGATCTCGTGTCGAGTGCCTTTGTCCTTAGGCAACTCGCAAGGCACGGATGCAGGGAATACATCCTTGAATTCGATCAAATCCTTGTACAAAGGATTTACCTGAAGTGACTCCCAGGATTGAGACGTGTATCGCTCAATCCGAGTCTTCTCATCGAGGACACTTTCGTCCATCGATGAGCTGCTGAGAACCCGTTCGTTCTCAGCAAATACTGTCGCCGATCGAATATCGGCCACATACTCATCCTCTGTGACGAGTATGCAGATCTGCTTGACTTTGCCACTACGCAGATCACGCAAGAACCGCTTCGGTTCTAGCGTTGGCAACTGAGTTATCTCCGAAGTTAACTTTGGAGGCACAATCAGATCAAGTGTATAAGCGCCTACACTTGATCCGTCATTAACCAAGACGTTCAACGTCTCGGTTACTTCCTGGGAACTTCGTTCCACAGGTTGCTGAGGGCCTAATCCTTCAGCAAGCGACTCTTGAGGAATTCCTTCCTCAAGTACGTGGGGACTTATTCCCTCGACGTCTTCTGACTGTGGCTGTGCAACCACAGTCAGGGACCGATCCTCTACGGTCGACTCTCCAGTCGACCTAGGATGTCCATGTTGTCCATTTGGAGGCAACAGGTTTCTTTCTGTCTAAGATGCTGCCCGCTAGGCATGCATCCATGTCCCGGTCCACTCGACTTATTCGAGTGGTGGACCTTCGGCGCAGCCTGTACTTCTATACAGCCGCCGGGAGCTTGCTCCACAGTGTAGTGATCAACTACACTGTGATCTTGTGCAGTCGTGCTAAAAACGACCGTACCGCAAGTGAGGCCATCGCACTCACTAGCAGAATATCCACACGCTTGTGGAAGCTCCAAGATGTTCATCAGATGACCTTCTAATGAACAAGTAACAGGCATCTTCACGGATCGATGCTGTCAGCTCACCCTTGGCTCGTACTTTCTGAGCCAAGGTAATCCCAGGATGACATCAAATTTGTCATCCAGATCCAGTACGATGAAGTCATCATCGTACTGTTCGCTCTCTAACGTGTAGTGGATTCCGAGTACACGTTTCTCAACGGTAATAGATGCGCCTGTTGCAAGGCGCACCGTCATCCTCGTTGAAGTGAATGTCGCGCTCAACAAACTTGAGCCTAGGACCCTCTAGTGACTGGCGACGAACAAAGTTGTTTGACGCCCCACAGTCTACTAGGGCACGAAGCGACAAATCATTTGTCGCTTCCAACTTCAAGGTGATGAGCGAAACGTCATCACCAGGTGCAGAGACACACAATGATTGTGTATCTGGAGCAACTTTCGTCAAGGGATTTGCAAATTCTCTTGAGGTTGCTGGATCAGTAGGGCGCTCCGCTCCTACTGAACCCGACCATTTTTTTAGGGTCCGTCTCGCTGTTGTGGATTCGCAACAGCGCTGGACCCACGCCCATTGCCCTTCCTGGCAAATGGTCGTCCATTTCGCTCGGTACTGTTTGGTACTGGGCGTGGAGCACTACACTCGTATGCGTAGTGCCCTAACTTCTGACAGCGATTGCACCTCTGCAATCGCTTGTTGTTTGAAGAGCGAGGTCTCTCGCTCTCAACATAGCAGAGGTCCATTGGTTCTGGACCTACGATCTCTTGTCGTCTTGGTGGACGATAAGAGTTTGAGCTAGCATGAGCCTGTTTCGTGCTAAAGTATTCCTGTTCCGCGGCCGATATCGCTTCTTCCAGCGTATTTAGCTCAAGGCGGAACAGGTGGCTCCTGACGGGCCCTTCTGGGAGCCCTTGCAAGAACACCATAATCAACTTGTGTTCATGTACAGGTTTAGCAGTTATACTACTCGCGAGGAGTCGTATATGTTGAGCGTAAGCGTGTACATCACGCTTACCCTGCTTGAGTTTCAGGATATCAGAACGAGATCTGAACTCAGCCCGTGGCGGCTCAAACGTTTGTATGGGCCGGGACTTGAAGTCATCTAGCGACATAAACACATGTGGGTCGCTACTCTCGAGCCCCAGGGACTAAGTTTTGGCACGCCCTGCCAAGTGGGTCTGAGCAAATGTGAGTTTTATTTGCTCATCTTCGACGCGACGATCCCTTAAGGCTCTGTAGAGTTCGACAAACCACAGAAACAGGGAGTCCTCCGGGACTCCACTGTACTTGGAGATGTCAACCTTCATGACCTCGGGACGACGCGCATGTGCCGTCCCGCCCACAGCAGCATGGAATTGCTGCTGTATCAACAGCTCTGTCTGTTGAGCACCGAGTTATCTCAACTGCTCGGCTTGTTGATAGTCTTGCTGGTGAAGCAAGGCTACTTTTTCCCTTTCGGCGACAAGTTCATGTTGTATGAACTTGGCTATAGCGGCATGTTGTTGGTCTCTGTCTAGAGACTCTAACATGGCGCTAATGGCGAACTCGCCTACGGTAGAACTCATTCGTTCTACCGCACTCCATTCGATGTGACTCAAAGGGGGTAAACCCTTCACGCGTGGCGTGAAAGGTTTCTTCGTCATCCAACATGTTCATGTTGGATGCTGTGGTCCTTGGAAGGACTACAAAGTGCTACCAGGTGTAACGGGGCACACCCTTGCGTGAACTTAACGCAAGGGTTTCGGGTTCCCCGACAGACGTACACGTGGCGAACGAGGAAGCGTAGGTAGGGTAAAAGCAGAACTGTTATATTAATATAATTAAGTGTTTTATCCACTGTCTCTCTGTTTGACTTAACTTAATTATACTAATCTAACTGGGTGTATGGTGACGTCTCGTCACCACTCATTGCGCGCGTCTTGCGGCGATTGGTGGGTTGATATCATCAAGATATCAACCAATGAACAGACTCTTTGGTCGACCGATCAATATCACCGCTTCGGTGATATTGTTTAAAGAATATTCAACTTAATATTCTTTTTTATCACTTTTCTTAAAGTGACAATTCCATGAAACGGGCTGCCCCGTTACAGTCACAATAAGTAGCATTTTCGACACGATTCGGCCGGCATCGTCATTTCTCGCTCAAATGTCGCGCCATTGACTTGACTTGGACCTTTCATCACATACAGTGTCACACGGTTTCATCACATACGGTGTCACGGTGGTACACTGTGGTGGCACATCCATGGCACAGGTACGTGTACCATGTGGTGCATCACTCATTTCAATTAGTGTCGTTACAGCCACCAACGAGACGTTTTAGGGTTTACTCTAGTAGAGGGTGAAACCCTACATTTTAGTAAATATTTGCAGGATTCGACTTCAAATTAAACAGTCAATCAACATTAGCTCGCATTGTCATCTTTTTGGGGCCCTTCCCTTCCTAAGCTTCTTTGTTCACAAGAGTTGGAAGTCTTGTTAAGGAATCTACTCTTAAGCACTATGTGCTTGTGATTCTCTGAATCGCAGACATCCCTTGAACTAGGTCTAGCAGCTCCAAGGGCTAAGTAGACTCGTTGAGTCGTGGTCTTGCTAAGGACAAAGTAACTCGTTGAGCTAAAGCCTTCCTCTGGCAAGGAGCTGTTGTAGCTCCGCTATGTGCGAAATTGAACCAAACATCATATCCTATCCCGACTCATTTCTCTGTATCGTCAGCGCTTCTTGGGTTCTTCCTTTCAACCTCATTCAAGCTACAAGGGGAGTAACTCGCATGTTCGCTCATCTCCTACTCTTTAACGTCAAAAGAGTGCATCTAGACGAGTAGAACACAAGGTACCACGCGTACAAAGCGCGGACTCGATACCGGTGCAAACAAGTTGCAAACAGTTTGGGTCGTCCTCTTTACTGCTTCACTGACCGACGCTCTTCAAGTCGGTCTTTTCTAGATCTATCGCGCCATCCATTGGACTGCGTGCACTGAAAGCCCCATCCAGTCCACTTTACTGGCCCGTTTCGCGGTGCGATTTTTGCGCCGGTGCCCACAAAAAGCTGTCCCGAACTTCCCGCTGTTCCATCCCAAAGTTAAGACCGCAGACGCTTTGTGCCGTTTCTGCTAACCTTCACAAGGAGACGATTCGTACGCGGCATAACAGCTGCCGATGGTGACCGCTCAGATGGGAACCGTAAAAGCGACTGCTTGCCATTAACAGTGTCGACATTGAGGCATAGAGCAGCTGCTGCAAAGCATCGCCGCGAAAAAGGCGACTCGAGGTGTCCTGATCTTGGACCAATGTCTCCCTCTCTCTCGTCGGGTCCGTATTGCTCCAGTGATCGACAAAAGACTCTTTTTCGAATCGCGAATGTCACATGTCGGACACGTTGAGCTGTGTCAGAGGACGAGATGCTTCCATAGAAACCGCTAGTGGGAGGGACGTCCGTGGCGTCAGCGAATCTATCTGGTCGCGAGAAACACTGGATAGGCTGTCGCTCCCAGCGGTCTCGCAGTGACGCAGCAATAAAAAAAGGATCTGCGCGACAAGCGCTGGGACAGTCACTACCTGCAGGCAAAGCTGCAACAAGTCGGAGCGAAAAGAGACATCGACACGTATGGGACTATACTGAGGTGACCAGCGACAAGACCATGTGCGATCGCTGGAGAGCGCCGGCCACCGTATGCTGAAATGTTTCTCACAGCACACTGGTGCTCTCTCTCTCTCTTGTGACTCTATGGACTGCCGACTGCCGATCGCTTCGAGATGCCGTCGAAAGCCGCGTCAGACGCTGCACTATGAGAGGGAACTGTGGTCGTGCGTTGAGGCGGCCGCCGCCCAACAAACACCACACCAGTAGTACCGTTTGGTTCGATAAATAGCGTTTGTTGAGTGTATAAGCTCCATACACTACCGTGCTCTTTGTCTCGTACTATTCTGTGGCCTACAATGGGTGCGTTTACTCATGGGTCTGACAATGTGAATGTGCTGCGCCTCACTTCAGACGCTGGCGCTTGATCTCCAGCAGCGCGTCGGCCTCGTCAGCTTTCCACTGCTGCGTCGAGCTCCACAATCCCGTCGACGTGTGCGAACTTGCGCTACAAGGAGTCGACTCCGCCATCTCTACATTCTCCCGGTCGTCCTTTGCCAGCTCACTCGACGCCAGCACTTGTTTCTTATCGTCCAACTTCTTCTTGGAAAACACGAAGCGGCGGAGCACTTCCATGCCAGCCTCGTCCGTCTTGGGCTCGTTGCGGCGCTTGCCGTTGCCAGGGCCCTTCAGTACTGCACCAGGTAAAGAACTCATCTCCTCCGCAAGCTCCCAGATGGCGTCGTCCTCGGGCATGTTGCGAAGGAGCTTGGCAAAGTAGCCATACGCATGCGTGCGGACTTGAACCGCTGTCTTGGTGCGGACAAACGTCTGGATCTTCTTCCACTTGCGGCCGTACCGGTTCAAGCCCTCCATGAACCGCGCGTGCTCGTCCTCTGTCCAGCGCTCCCGCCGCTTGTTAAACTCGCTCGACTGACTCGCCGGCGACGCTGCGCCCATTGGACTCTGTGGCAACTCGTCGCCCATGTTGCTCATCGCGTCCGCCGACACGTGCGTATCCATATACGGAGCAGAAGAAGAATGAGACGACAGGAACCCCGCGCGGCCCTCGTCGACCGCCTGGGACACGGCCGTTGACGGCTCTTGCGGGTGGTACACCAGGAGCTCGGCCTGCTGCGTCCGCGTCTGTGTTTCTTCCTCCACTGGCGCGTCAACGACCGGCGCAGGAGCTTCAGTCGACGCACTGGAGCGTCCCCCGATCAAGTGCAAGAGACTGGTGCGGGCCAAAATGTCGGCAAAACTGGGCAGCCGACGCAGGACGGGCGCTGGCACCGGCGCGACGGCGAGCGACGGCGGCGTCAACATGGATGGCGTCTGCAGCTGCGGGGGCGACGACGAGCGGCCCCACAAGTTGCCCGCGAGCAGGTGCGACACGCTCATGCGCGGCACGGGCTGCTGCTGCTCTGGCGGCATCTTCCAGCCCGGCGCAGACTGCTGCGTGAGCGCAAAGGGCGGGACGTGCAGGCGCGGGAGCTCTCGGAACCGCACGGCGTGTGGGGGCGGAGGCGCGTGCAGCGTCTGCATCGGCGGCGCGGGGTACCGGTCGTTGACGGCCGCGGCGCTGGGGGCATTGGCCTGGCGCTTGTAGGCGAGGGCCGAGTAGTCTGCCATGTCGCGCGTTGCGTCGCGGAAGCGAGGGGGAGAGGGAGAGCGTGCGTGCGTGCGTGCGTGACAACGTGTAGATGACGATGACGTGGAGCCGACGAGGGGCGAGTCAGTCAGTCAGTCAGTCGCGCGTGGCAAAAGCTCGAGAGGGGCACAAGTCGTTTCCGCGCGCGCGCGACTCGGAATTACTGGCGACTTGCGATCTTGGAGGCAAATTGCAGACTAAGCGTCCGCAGGCAGGAGGCGGTCGTGGCGCCTGCGGTTGTCACTTGGCGATGCGAGTTGCACGAAAAGGGCCGCCCGGGCGCTTGTCTAGGCCCGAGCCCTAGCCTAAGCGCTCCCAGTACGGAGCGGCAGCCGGTGCTGACCAGCAGTTGGATTTGGACAGAAAAGAGACACGTGGAAACGGGGCGCGGCTGGGTCCGCACCGAGTTGAGGGCGCGTCGGTGCCGCGGGCGTCTCAGTGGCTGCGAGCGACCGGTCAAAGCAAACTCAGTTTGCGCAGTGCCAACTGATCGACACCTCTTTTTGCTGCGGCAAAGCGAGTGCGCTTGAAGTTCCCCGGGCGACTGCAAAGTGTATGTTAGTAGTGGGCTCAACACGTGGGCTAGGGAATGGCTCAGGCAGCAGACAGGCCGGTCGTGTCAAGCACATCTTCCAGCCTTCATTGAAGGGCGCGCGCGGGGTGACAGGCCCTCCGAGTAGACAGACGCCTGACCTCGAACGCTTCTGCTGTCCTTGTCGCCTCTCCTCGAGGCCCTGCGCACCAAAGTCAGGTGCGTCACTCGTATCGCGCGGCTCAATGCGATGGTCTTGTGGTCTGCCAATGTGGCCGCGAGCAGCGGCGATGGGGTCGCGCGCGCGAGGGTACTGCACGCAACGCAATGGATTTGAGAACATGTAGTCGAGGAGGAGAAAGCAGGCGGTCTGAGCGGGCGCAAAGGAACGCGGAAGGATCGAGTCGTGTGCAAGTCGTTCCTGCGTAACGTCCGGATCGACGGTACGCCATTCGTTTGTCTCTTTGTTTGCAAGCACGTCACTGAGACATCTCGGCGGCGGTCGCGCACGCGGCGTCCCAGTGCCCGCCGACGAACGTGCTCAAGTGCGTCGACTCGGATGTCGCGTGCGTCCAGTTGCGTGTGTTGATAATGTCGTTGAACGCACGCGGTGGTGGACTACTACTGATTATGCCGGGGAACGAGCGAGCGACTGACTGACGGATTGCCTGCTTGGCTGGTCTTTTGCCACAGTCATCATCACTCGCGCACTCGGTTTGGCCACATGAATGGCGGCATAAAGTGCGCGGCACGACCGCACAACGCCAATGATTACATCGCAGCACTTTGGAGCTTGTCGGCTCGTGCATTTCCTGCTTCCTCATGACAAGAACACGACCGTCGGGAAGGCCCGTGCGCAGCCAGGAAACTGTCTCGACGCTTGCGGTTTGCGCAATCACGCACGCTCCAGTCGATGGCGGCGGCTATGCTGCCTACCGCCTGCCCCTTCCGCGCACACTAGCGCAACGAGGTCTCGTGGGTCTGGCTAAGCTTTTTCCGTGTCCGTCCTCATCTCTATCACGAGCCAGCAGGCGATGACCTCACTCCGAACGTCCTTGATGCAGCTGCTGCTGAAAGGACGCGCGCCTAGGCGTGTAAGTGGGCTTTGGACACACGAGATGCAGCACGATGAGCGTCGACGCAACCACGCTCGCTCCCACCCTCTTCGCTTGAGCAACGTGCACTTTTTCGACAGCTGGCGCCAACCATCGGATTGCTGACGTCGGTCGTCCCTTGTGGAAACAAGAGGCTCTACGAGTGCTCGTCTGGCTCGGGCTCAGACAGACCCTCGCGCACATCAGCGCCGGGCAAATCGCACCAGCTCTGGGCGGTCACGCCAGCCCTCGTTTCATCCCCTCAGCAAGCAGAGCCAGTGGGTGTCTCAGACACGATTGTCGACTCGAAGCTGCTGCGGGCTCACGGGGCTCAACGCTGCTGCATCCAGCGCGAGCTACACTTTGGGCAAATCGCCGCGTGCCTATCGCGCAACGGGCGAGGAGGTCCTTGCGAGCCAATGCTTTTCTTATTCCAGGGACCACGTGCCCACGACGACAACAACGACACCTGTAGCAGCCGTAGCAGTAGCTGTCGTTCTCTGTTGGTGTCCACTTTACGGCTGACGGATGGCACGACTGACTGACTGATAGATGACACTCATCACGTGCTTTTTTATCGCAGCGCACAGAAACAGGCGCCTGTCGTTAGGTTCGCACCGCTTGCAACGGCTGTGCCTGTCACGGCCAGCGACTGCGAACGTAGCGACTTTACCTGCGAAAAGGAGTAGTGACGACTGCGAGTGCAACAACGACTGCCGCAGTTTTGATCGACATCGTCCCCGTCTGGGGGGACGTGACGGTAGTCGCCGGACGTCAGCGCGAGACTACCAAACAGCATGCGCCCGAGCCGTATCCGGTCGGCTTCGATGGACCGAAGACGTGTTTTGACCAATCGACGGCCGCGACGAGCCCCCACCCCTCGTCCCCTCTGTCCGCTCGCTGTCTCCAAACGCGCTTCCGATTCCACGACAACTGGTCGCGAAGCACTCGTTCCGCGCGCTTCCCGTTGCTGCAGACGCTCTCGACAGGCCGTGTTCCCACTCACCCGCTGCTGTCCATCATGACCACAATCGTCTGCTCGTCGCCCCCCGCGTGCACCGATGCGCCAGTGGCGCTGTCCGCAGGCAGTCAGAGCGTTCGCGTGGGCGTATCGATCGACGCGGCAAAGGATTCGCTGGGGACGGACTCGGACAGCCCCACGAGCTCTGCCGCTGATTTACTGAGTCTCGGACGCGGTACAGACGTGCGTCTGGACGTGGGGATTGACGAGGAACGGGACGACGACGACAAGGAGAATGTCCGTGAACAAGTTGTGGGCGTGTCGCACGAGAGCTGTGCAGGCGCTGCAGTAGAGCCACGATCTGGTAACAAGCGGAGACGCGTGTTTTTCGAGTGTGCAGACATTGTCGAGTTTGAGCCGACGGTGTACACTACGAGCATCACGTCGGGCGGCGTGCCCGTGGGGCTGTCCCTGAACGAGCGATCTCGATCTCGACGTCGATTGGATTCGTTTGAGATGGAACGAGCAGACGAGTACGTGGTGGACGCTGCCCGTTGGACTGCTGGATTGCCGAAGAGTGCGAGGGGGTAGTTGTTTGACGACTTGTATTGATACTGGATATAGTGTGTGTGTGGCGTGATTGACGGTGTGTGAACAGGCGTGTCGGACGGCAGAACTACATGGAAGAGGGCTATTTAGACCCGCAAGAGCGTGAGATCATTTTGAACAACGCAGGATGCGATGAGCCTGCGATTGCTTCGGTCGAGGCTGAGGTGAACGCGATTATCCAGCATCGACGCGAGTCGAATGAGATTGACTATTCTTTTATGTACGTCGTCGAGGACGAGGACGTTGAAGATGATGAGGACGAAGAGGAGAAGAAGATGGAGGAGGAGAAGAAGGAGAAGAAGGAGAAGACGAAGAGGGAGAGCAAGAGGAGGAGGTGCAAGTGGATGTACTGCACGAGTTGACTGACGCACAACACGTTGCTGGCGCTGAATTGCGGGCATCAAGCAAGATAAAGCTGGAGGACATTGTGAAAGACGGTGCAGTGACGATGCACAGCGGCCTTTTGGTCGATCGCGAGATCGAGGTCGAGGTAACGGAGACCACGGCACATCAATGCAGCATCGACGACGCGGTGATTGCGTCGATGTGAACAAGCGTGAGTGCTCGAGCAAGGTTCTTGCTGCTTTGCCGGGTCGGGATGGCGGCGTTTGGACTCGTCCGTTGCGGTTGCCACTGCGGTTGCGTGTGTGTCCCGGGGGTATCTTCGTTCTTCTCGTTGTCAGTTAGGGTTGTACGTCCATTTGTATTGCTTGCTCTTCTTGACTGTCGCTCGCTCGCTCGGTCGTGTCGTTGCGGGCACGGCCTGTTCTCCGTTTATACACCGACATCCTCATTGTCACAATTATTGCCGCCTCGTTGTGTCTCGTTTCTGTCCGCTTCCCCATCGAGTGGTTCCTCGACCACGTGCGACGGTATCTATTTCGTCCAATGAGCAGCCGCCGACTTGGCCGATCTTTCCTCGTGGGGTACGCGATGTCTCGAGCTCATTGACGTTGTTGGACTGCCGTCTACGTCGTCACTTGTGGTGAGTTCTTCAGCTGTCAGTCCCGCACTTAGCCGCAAACGAACAGCGCGTCCGACGAGATGGCCGCTGCCACCGAACCAACTCGGACACTCCGACGCGCCACCTGTACGTGACGACTGCTGTCTTGTCACGAGGAGTTCCCATTCGATTGATCGGTCGATGATTGATTGACCGTTCTCACGTTTTCTGTTGCCAATGTGTTCTGATGGGGGACAGACGCGAAAGTACAGGACTTGACGCCCGGTTCCCACGGGCACAATCTCGTGCTGCAAGTGGTCTCTGTCGCTCCTGTGGTCGAGAAGAAGCGCTACGACGGGACCGTCTCGCGCATCGCCGAGGCCGTGCTGGCCGACGAGACGGGATGCGTCACGTTTACCGCAAGAAACGGTACGTGCTTTCGGTGTCGAAGGTAAAGGCACACGTAGCTGCAGTAGCGGTAGTGCATTTGGTGGCTAAGTGCATTGATTAATGCCCTGCAGATCAGATTGACGTGCTGAAGGAAGGCCTTGTGCTGGTTCTGCGCAATACGAACGCCGACATCTTTAACGGATTTATGCGGCTGAACGTGACGCAATGGGGCAAATTGTCGGTGCATCCGGACACCGTGGCCTCGACGCCTGCCCCGCCTCTCAGTATCAATACGAAGAACAACGTGTCGGCCGTTGAATACGAACTGGTCACGGTGAATGACGCCGACGAATAGGGCGAGATGCCGAGTTCCACACGGGGGAGTGGCAGGATCCGTGCAGTAGCAGCAGTAGCAGTACGTTAGCTTGTGAAGCTCGAGCACACAGAGATGATTTTTTATATCGCCAAGTGTTGACTTTGGAGTGGCATTGTGTGTGAAGAAGCCACGAAGGTGTTCTTGTCGTGCGGACAGTCCTATCTTTATACCCAGCAAAGTGGCTGAAACCGAGCGAGTGGCTCGTGCTTTGTGTGGCGCACTTCACGACTCGGCCGCACTATTTCCGCATCTTCGTGCTTGTATCGAGTGAAATGGTACAAAAGTCGGTCATGACAGTCTGGTACCTCCTGGCAAATAAATCCGATAGTGTTGTAGCCATCACGGTTGGTTGGTCTCGAGCGCTGCTCATTCCTGAAAGCATTTGCCTGTTGATAGAGTTCCGAAGCTGCAGCTATGGGTGTCCGTACCAAGACCGTGAAGGGCTCTGCCGTCAAGATCATTGAGAAGTACTACTCGCGTCTCACCCTCGACTTCGACACGAACAAACGTGTGTGCGATGAAGTTGCCATCATCCCGTCGAAGCGCATGCGCAACAAGATCGCGGGCTACATCACGCACCTCATGAAGCGCATCCAGCACGGCCAGGTGCGTGGCATCTCGCTCAAGCTGCAGGAGGAAGAGCGAGAACGTCGCATGGACTTTGTGCCGGAGGTGTCGGCCATTGACACGGAGAACATTGAGATCGACAACGACACGAAGGACCTGCTCGCTCACTTGGACCTGAAGCTGGCCGGCGTGCACGTGCCACAGGTAAGATGAGCTTTGTTGCATTTGTGTAGTTGGAAAGACAATGCTGGAGCCGATGATGACCACACGGATGTGGTCAAACCGGTGGACCCATTGAAACGGCTTTTTCTCGTGGCGAGCTGTAGAAGCAGCTCACTACGAGAGGAAGTCGCTGAATATGCCGCGTATCTTTTGCCACAAACGTGGGTGGATGCAGTCCACTGCTTGGTCTCCTGGTCATCGGCTCCTTCGCGTCGTGCCAACTTGGGCGAAGAAGGGACGAAGTGTGTGCTAACTCCATGCTGTCATGACTTGTAGCTAAAGGCCCGTGAGCAGCAGCACCACCACCGCAACTAAACCGGTTGAGTTTGTAAGTCGTGCGTGCTACTGATGCCGTGAGACGAGCGACAAAGTGGTTCGCAGTGTAGCTGCCTCGATTAACCAAATAACAATGCTTTCGATGATTATGTTACACTGTTGGTGCATCATGTTCTCGTGTCTGTGAAAGCTGTCATAGCTGTCTAAAATTGCTCTTTTCATTGCAGTCTCTTGTTGGTGCCCACGATGCACACACACAGCAGAATCGACTCGCAAGTGGTGACACCGTCAGTGTGAATTGCTTACACAGATACTGGCAGCTACTACAGTATTACCGACCGCCAACAATGCAAAGTGTTCTCGATTTTCACGTCCTAATCGCTCGATAGTACTTCGCTCGGTCCAGCCAGCGGTACTTCGTACTTAGCCACTTCCAGCTCGACACCTCTTTTAAGTCTTCCTCCCCCCCGTCTCTTGCTCTCCAATGCGTTGATTGGGTACAAATCCGACTGCATCGCCGCGTCCGGATTGGCTGACGACGGCCACCGCAGCTCCGCTCGGCTCGTTCGTCCCCAATAGCTCAAGATGCAGACACCGCCTCTCGCCACGGGCGTATCCATTCAGTACCCCATCGACCATACGGCAGCGGGCTCCACGTCGGAACGTCACGAGACGCAGCCCGAGTTCCCGTTTGCCTTTCCAGCATCTTCGCTGCCACTGTCCGACCCTCCGTGCAGGTCCGACACTATCGCGTACACTGCGTGTCAAGAACTCGCCTACCACTTTGCCTATGAGAACGCGCGCCGATCCGTGCAAGCGCTGCTACTCCAGACCAACGACACGAGTTTCTGCCAAGTGCTGCGGTTCTTTGTCAAGTACTGTGCGACGAACGAGTTGGCGGTCGCAGCAACAGGTTCCACACTATTGTCCGCATCACGTGCCGACTCGACTGCAGTTTCGGCTTCGCGAAGGCGACTGTGGGATCCAAATGCGCCTGTTTTGTTTCCGTCGTTTCACGCGTTCCCAACAGCTGCAGTGATCACTGGCACCGATGCAACATCAAGTGAGTTGTGGGTGGAGCCATTGCTGCAGAAATTACGGCGTACGTTTCCTCTGTGTGTTGTCGTGCCTCGTGACGTGACCAGTGCTCGGAGACTAATTGAGTGGCTGGCCGCAAAACTCGCCAAGCTTTGTGCAGCGAAGCAACGGGAGCACCAGTGGGTTCAAGTTGAAGTCGAGGCTTTCGATCTACTGTCAGTCGACGCATTGTCGGTACCGGCCGACATTACCAGTCGACCGCTGACTCGACAAGAGCGAGCTAAGAGTTCTGGCAGTGCTGTTGAAACGGTGCAGGTGGATGAAAAGGATTATGTACGCGACGATTCATGTTCGGAAGCGAGCTTTGCGTCGGAAGGGAGTGGTGATGAGGTGAAGGCCGGCATGTTCATGAAAAAGAAGAGGAAACGACGACGTGCGTCGGTGGCTTATGGACGATGGACGATGACGAAGCTACTGACAACGATACGACGGGATATCCAAGAGCTGGTGTCGCTTGCTGCTGATAGCAGTGCGAGCGGTGAGCGGATTGCAATGCTTGATGAGATGGTGCGCGATCGACTTGAAGAATCATTGGCCCGGGTGGAGGAAGTACAAGGCCAGGAGGAAAATGGGGTGTTTGAGAGGATTGCATGCTATGACGAAGCAGTGGCATGGCTGCAGCATCGGATCAGGGCGTGTCGGAAAATAGCAGCAAAGTTGCTAAATGTTGCACATGATACGAACGACCCCGTCACTGGCCATGTTGGTGCGACGGAAATGGCATTGGCATTGATGCTGCAGCGTGTCTATTGTCGGTATATGACGTATATGAAAGCATGCACGATGGATCGAGCCGGAATGAACGATCGGCGAAGATCACTGAAGCAAGAGATGTCTAATCATGAGAATTACTACCATTTAAGGCGAGATGCTAAGACACAGAACTTGGCGTCACGTCCGATACCAATTTCTCGTCAGTCGTTTTTGCTGCTATGTATTGAACAACTTGAAGCATTTTCGCAGCAAGTGTTTGGTGATTTCTTGGAAATTTGGACACATTTCGTTCGACAGCAAGAAGAAAAGGATCACATGAATGCGGCGAGTAGCACGTTGGGGTTTGTCATTGGAGTGACCTCAGCGACTGCGCCAGCCTTACGGCGTTTAGACTTGAGTGTGACCAACCGACTCGAGCTGCAATTCTTCTCGCTCATTGACTCTCGAAAGTGCTTCAACGACATATTGGAGGCACTGGTTGTGAAGGCAAAGTTACCGCTGTCACTTGGCGGCAACATCGTACGAGCTATTGCGAGCCGATACCGTCGGTTGCCAAGCGTCCCACGTCTCCTTCTTGCACTGCGCTACTTGCTGTTCACACACTTCAGACGCTGTCCGTGGAGTTTCCTGGCTTTGGCTATCGATGGTTTGCCATCATCAGGTGAGTCTCCTATCTTGTTAGCCGCTGATGTTGCACCTTTACCGTATCGTGTCTTAAGTTGGATCACGCACCATCGTCGGCACTTTATGCGTGAAGCACAAGGAAGAGCTATTGGGTCCGACTCTGCGCTCACGTCTTGGCTTGTTTCATGCAGTGCGTTGGAGCTGAAAGACTTGGAATCGCGAGTGATGCCCTCTTTGTCCAGTGCTACAACTACCGACAACGAATGGTTAAGTGACCTGGAGGCAGCAATGCTTCGTGAACGTCGTCGTCGTGCTCGCTGGAGATTGGGATGGGAGTGCTTTCGCTCTGCTTGCTCGTGGCTGGACGTGCGCGTTGATGGTAGCAAGGACGCAAAACACGGTGAAGAGGGAGGTCTGGCCGTGACACACTTGATTCTGGCGCTTGAAGGCAGACTGGGCGAAGGACCACGCTATATGGAAGTACTGCGGCGAATGCAGAGCTGTAGATGGGCCTTGCTCTCGGGAATGATCGAGGACTGGCATGCTTCGTATCGTGTGTTCGGTTTGCATGACGACGAAGGAGAAGACTTGGAAGGGACTTTACGTGAGTTGGCTATGCTCTGTGCTTACGCACGAGCCGAGAAGACGCCCGCAAAGATGCTTGCAGCGTTGCGAAGAGAGCTCGTGACTGCGTTTACTTGCCGACTCTTATCTGCGTTATTGCGTCCGTCAGCACCCGATAGAGCATCTCGTGCTGATGCGCTGGTCGCAAGTTGGTCAAAGTTGACGGACGCTAACGTATTGGAAGAACGGCTGCGATTCGAGTACCACGACAATCTTCGCAACGTGCTGCAAGAAGCTGGTATTGGCAAAGACTCTGGGAGCCGCTTTGGTGCAAACACTCAATCTTCGTGGGTTCATGACGTAGGTCTTGCGTTCTTGTTTTACCAAGAGAGTGCAAGTGCGAGCTTGAGTCTTTCCGAGTGGTACGAAAGTTTTGCGCTGGAGCTACGGGAAGAAGCTGATGCAGCACGAGAGAGCAAAGGCAAAGCCATAGAGAGGAAGAAAGTGGACGACACGGCGATGACAGCTCGTTTCGTTCGAGCAATTTGCACCCTCCGTCACTGGGGCTTCCTTAGAAGCGACGCACCTCGTGACCAGGAGCAGGACATTGTCGAGAAGCTGGTCTTCATCTGAGTACAGGCGACAACAACGCGGCTCAATGAGTGGTAGTAGTAGTAAAGGGGATGTTGGAATGGCTTTAAAGGGGGAATAATACTGTCACAAGAGCGCCTGTGGCTCTTCGGGTCTCCATATTCATAGTCGGCTCCACTGGATCACTCTCTCGCGCACTCAATCGTCGCCTCGTTCAATCGCTGTGCGCCAACCACAGCAGAACATGTTACAACAGACAGACACACGGAATTGTTTACCACACTCGACGTGTCGTACCGCCCGTATTGTAATGCAACAGCTTCTCGATGAGGTCCACGTGCGTGAGCATCATCCGACGACAGCAGTAGCGCTTGAGCGACAGCTCGTCCAGCGCGTCGCGCTCAGTGTAGTCGGCGCGCAGCAGACCTAAGTACGTCTCCCACTTGTTCGCCAGCACTTTGCCGCACGTGAAGCAGCGCACGGGCACGATCATCGCCGCTCGTGAATCGCCGAGTGAGCCGCGACGTCCAGTGATTGGGTGCGCGCCAAATGAAGCAAAACGAGTGGACGAAAGTCGGTCCGCCACCGCTTTATGTGGACCACTAAGACGTGTCGTGTCCGCTTGGCATTGTTCGCGCTTAAGTACGAGTCCACACACTGGCAGTGCGCGAGTAGCAGTGTCCGGGGAGTCGGCCGAGGACGGAGCTCCGCGTGCATGGCGCCCGTGGCAGAGCAGCAGCGGCAGTCATTACATATGTCGCAGGAACGCAATGCTGTTGGACACGCGTCGGTCCAAGTGGTACTGACATCGACGCCCGAGTCGCCGAGTCAGAGCGTTCGAAAGGGCTGCGAACGGAGTCCATTCGAGCGACCGACGGCGGAAAACGAGCGACCGACGGCGGAAAACGAGCGACCGACGGCGGAAAACGAGCGACACGCGACGGAGAAGTCACGTGCGACGCCCAGCAGTGGCTCAGAAGGTGGAGAGGATACACGTTTTGGGTGCGGCGTTTCTGTCGCATCTGTACGAGCCGTTTCGACAGCAGGAGCCAGCGCGGGGGCGAAGGACGATGGGGAACAACAAGCGGAGGCACTGGTGGTCGAGTCATGGCCGGTAGATGGCTACATATGTGTAAATACAGTGCGAGAGACTATGGATGAACTTGCAACGGGAGTGGAGCAGGCTGAAGCTAAGGAAGAGAAGCAGTGTGGCTCACAACGGCTGGTAGCAAGCGACTGCAAGCCAGACAAGGACAGTCAGAAGCACAGTAATGGCCTTGGAACGACTGACGTCGGTGGGGACGCCGAGGCGTTGTCATGTGGTGAAGCGCGGTTGGCAAGTGGCACGGACGTGGAAGCGTTGGAAAAGGCTGACGAGAGAGAATCGACTGCATTGCCTAATGTGCCAGAGGTTGTGCTGGAAACTGACGTTGGCGCCGGTGTTTCGAGGGAACAAGTGGCAGAAGCGGTGTTTGATGACGGTGAGAGTCGGGACGTTGAGATGGTTGTCGAAGACAAGTTGGCAAGTTGTGCTTTATACGATCACGGTCGGTCGCTCCTGCCTGATAGTACTGCGGCCGTCATCGAGTTGGATAGGCGGAGCATACATATAACAGAGGAACTCGACAAGATTGTCGCCTGCTTAGTGGATGATGTGGTTACTTGCGTGAATGCAATGGGATCATCAGATGTAGCAGAGCTTGCGACAATACCCGATAGTCCTTTGCTGCCGCATCTTAGCGCTGACGAAGCCATGGAACTGCTTGATATATATGAAGGCGACGACCACGTCATGCTTCCCGCGCACAGTAAGAACGAAGATGTTGCTGAGGAGGACGAACCAAGTACCCACGAGTATCAGTGGTTTGATGGAGATGACGATGACGGCGAGGAGGTTGCAGCAGACATTCCGTCCGTATTTGACGTCATTGCTGAGACCACAGACGATATCTTTAACGAGACCGCCGATGATGCGTCTGGTTCGAATGACAAGATTGCCCCCACTAATTCTGCGCAAAGTCTCAAGGAGTCCGCGGTCGTGTGCAGCGACGATAGCGCAGACACGTTGGTAATTGCTAGCAAGAGCAGCTCCAACAGTAGTAGCAGCCATGGTTCTGCATCTTCCAGCTCGTCGTACTCCGGGTCATCATCATCCGATTCGTCATCATCTGGTTCATTGTCGGCACCGCCTTTTGTCAGCAGTGTGGGCTGTCGAGGTAATGGGCACGTCGGTAATGGGTCGAAAAAGCGTCGCGCACAAGAAAAGAGTAGCCCGCGCAAGCTGATAATGCACACGAAACGAAAGCGTGTCCGTTCGCCAGAACTTGAAAAACCAATTCAAATGCAGCACAAACCGAAGTGGAAGTTTGCACAACCCATCATTCCACCAGAGTTTGCGGTTTTCGAGACGGATGCAGCTGACCCGATCCTCAAGGGTTTATATTGTGTGCGGAATAATCGGCGCGCGTGCTTTTACGGAACGTGGGGTTTTGGCGATGAAGCTTTTAACAATGTTGAGAGTGTGAGCCCGTTCGAGTACACTTCACGCGCCCGCGTGCCTCTGTCTCGCCGCAAAGATGATAAGCGCCCTATCTCTGGCAAGTACGGAGGATATTTCAAGTTGCGCCAGTCGAAGGGCGCGTTGGTCAAGGTTCAAGAAGGTCAGCTAGACTTGCAGTTCTTGCCCATGCCTTCCGACGGTGAAGAAGAAGATGAGGAGGAGGGTGCACAGTGCTTCGAGCGCGATGGAAACGGCGGTGACGAACGAGCAGCAAGCGGCTATATTGTGCTTGGCAAGGGTAAGAATCAATTTGGTCGGTTTTTAATACGAGGGTATCTTCACCCTGACAGTGGTCGGCTTACCGTGAAGCGCCGTTATTTGGAATGAATTGAAGTGCTAGCCAAATGCAGTTGACGCGATGTTTGTCGGTTGTGTCGTGACGTCCATCAGCTGATAATTTGTGCGTTGGTCGAACGGTAGACGGGTGGAAAACAAACATGTTACGCAGGACGCACCAGCGCGAGGTACACAGTCTTCGTAGTTGTCCGGTAACTGTGTAGAAAGACGGACGGTGATGAACAAATGTCACAACGACTGCGGCGACATCAAGACAAAGTTGTCGTTTACGAGACATTTACATAGAGCATTAGGATCGGAAGATATTGAGTAGAGCAAAAGCGTCGCTAGTGGTGGCAATAACAAGACAATCCTAATGCTGGCTGATTTCTTTACTGGTAGGCACTGACTTCTGTTGCGGTAGACTCAACAACATTCTTGATGCTGGGTCCTCGTGGTGGTGCTTTTACGCTTCAGCTAATAATTTTGGATATATAATCTAGCTGCTAAAGAAAATCTATCTTACCGTATCCACTTAATTTCTCGATCGTCTACTGAGACCAAATCATATCAGGAAGAAGTAATGTCATAGCTACTGGTTTCACATCAAAAAATTGAAAGGTTCTTGTATCGTCAAGTGAAGACGGGTGCATTATTCTCGATGCAGGGAGATAATCTTAATCTCAGAAGCTTGTAATTCAGTCACCGTCTTAAATTTTAGCTCGACTGTCTAAATGAATAACTATTGTGCTTTCTTTGTATTCAAGTGTAGAAAGTATTAACACGTGTTACATTCACAAAATGAGGTGTATCTTGATTACATTAGCGACTGCGCTATGAATACATGATAATAATCACGACCACCAATGGAAAGTGCCGGAAAAAATAGCTAGAAGAAGCTATATCATGGGGATGAAAGGTTGTTCAAAGCATCGCGCTACTTCATCGATGTATCCTATCCCTCTCACTACTGCTTTCACTTCATGTGCTTCACGAAAGCAAAACCATTTTGCCATATATATTTTTTTCCACTAAAAGCGCGTGTTGTTGACCCCTTTTCCTTGTAAATGTGTAAATATGAAACCCATTATCGACATAACAATTCTGAACGATGTGGACAGTTTAGGTGATATGTCATAGCGTACTATTGCTTTTGTAACGTAGCCTATGAGATCATTAATCGGACGCTCTACACATTCGAGTTTGACGCTTCTCATGTACGTTGCAGCTTGTTGTAAAATATTCGCTTCAATTTGAAACGTCCACTCTTCATCAATATAAAAAGACCGTTTCATCCAATTCTTGCGACGACATCCCTTAGCATGAGCGACGATATATTGGTCATGCGGAGACTCAAGAAGCGTCTGCAAGCATCCAAATTAAACGTGTGTCGCGAACATACTCGACTGTTGAAAGCATTGTAGCTAGACTCGTGGTGCTGATAGCGCAGAAATGTAAGATAAGCCAATGTCTTCGCAGTTATCACACGATCTCGTACACCTTTATCACATAACTTAGCTGCACAATTTACCCGGACGATCCCCACTGTAGCGAATCACGACGGTGTAGCATGCAGTCGAGGACACTCCACACCGACCACTTTATAATGGCTTCAACTCACTTGCATGACACGTACCACTCGGTATTGATATATTGCCTATTGTAGGAAAATGAAGCATTTTGCATGCTGTATGCATAATTACAATAGTCGATGCCGTGAGGCTGTTCATTGTATACGGTTTTGAAGACGTTGCCCATTTCTCGATTCTGAAATTCCGATTTCTTGCCAATGCTGTGCCGCTTCAATTATCGATATTAGCCACCGCCTTCTTACTTCTTTTCGTCGTTGCGACTGAGACAAATCGCACACCGAATGTAGTAGCACCTTCGACTTACTTCTCGCGAACAAAATTCATTGAATGAAACCTACAGCAATGTTATGTTAGACTTCTTTTACTCTTTTGTATAAATTGTTTCTTCCCCTTCTATTAGTAAGAAGCAACTACAGTATCACCTAAGGGCAACATTCGGCAGTAGTTCACAACACGCTGTGCACTGGCTGCTAACACGATTATACTTGTCCGCACATAGCCACAAAGCAATGGCAGTCGTGGCAACGACTATTGATCAGACGTTGTAAGTTTTTGTCGTTTATTACAAATGTTGTAGCGAGTAGAGCGTTTAGTAGACAAAAGCGTTTATTCTTCTTACCTGCGCTGATGCCATTGTATTGTACGGCCCATCAAAAACAGTGAAACTACCAGCCTTCTTCACGCGATACATGTGACGGTTTTATACGTAGGCGCCATACGTTAGTACGATACTTGAAGAGAAAGCAGACAAGCGACATACTTGAAGCCGGGTCTGATTAGTCGTGAGTTTACAAGCTATTGCTTTACGGGACTTTCGGGTAAAATGATGGCATCTCTCCTATCCTCCAATCCCAGCACTACCTATAAGAATGCACTTATCTCGCACAGCAGTTTACGTGCATGAGGGTTCAATTGCACGTGTATACGCTGGAACTTCAACTTTGTCTCCAAAAGCCGAGCTTGCCTTATTGCAACTGAAAACTCAGCCCCATCAGGCCATCAAAGATGCTGACAAGGGAATAGAGGGACTTAATGCAGGTGAACTACCAATGCCATCCTGGCAACGCCGGACATGACCGAATGGTTTGTTCGGATCTGAAAAGCTCCTTTCATTATTGTTAGGTCTTCCTTGATACCGAAAGCAGCTCTGATCTTGTAAGTCGTGGCTAACTCTCTGGAGATAGTAATGCGAAAGCTTGATACCCTGTCGTTCATCTACCGACGTCCGAAGTTATTGAAAACGACAAATAAGTTCAACGCAGTCGCAGACAGCAGACGATAGGTGCATAAAAATGTGATCTGCCGTGTCAAGCCCTTGTCAGACGGATGAGTTTCCAAAAGTACGATTGGAATTGTCGAAACTGGTACCAAAGGAGCGGAGAATTGTTGCCGGATGCCAAACGCCGTCGTTCATCTTATTGCATTCGTCGAATCTGATCAAAACATCAAAATATAGCAATGGTAGGAGGTGACTAAATACTACAGCATATTAATTTTGCGAATAATTACTGCAGCTTTTAGTCAACACGCAATCGTCTGAACACACCAAAAACCTGCGTACACCTCTTTAGAGCAATGAGTGATCACTCATTAACTTCCCCACGTGAATCGACTTTAGTCTGCTACACTCTGCCAGCTGCGTGCACTTGCAGCGACTGACTGTATTCGTGGAAAGATGGTCCTGTCAAAATAATTGAAGTTCTACCTCTCTAGCAAGTAGGCTGGTGAAAACACAGGTCGGATGTAAGAGGTCCGAAAGATGAGGACGTGAATTCGGTCGTCATTATCTAGTCACGCGCCCGTTCGTACAAAAGATGGGAGGACTCATCGCAAGCACACAAAGCACCGTAAGACATAATGCGCACGCAGCGTGAGGCAAGTCTCGTTTATTACCCCACCAGTAGGGTGGGGGAAAAACAATCTACTTGGCAGGGCGATGCTTTGCGTACGCTTGTTGGACTTTCTTTACCTCGGCGTCACGACCGTGTAGAGCCGAATGCGCTGGATCCCACTTGAGTGGACCATCTTGCGGAGCCACGTTCGCCTTCGCCCACGCTTCAAACTGCACCTTTTCCATTGACTCCGCGTTTCTTTTTGCCGGCGCCGTCCCGAATTCCTTTGCAAGCTGAATCAGGACGGCCAAATCTCGATCGTTGGGGATTATCTTCTTGTACTCCTCGTACATATTGTTGACTTCCTCGGTAGTCATCTCGCCGGTTTTCAGCGAGCGCTTTTTCAAGAACGAGGGACGAGAAAACATCATTTCGGCGAGCTTTGAGTGCTTATCGGAAGGGTAGCCATGATCCACGTGTTGCATGCGCTCGCTCGATGTCCGCATCGACCCGATCACAGTCCGAAAGTGTTCCAGGTCTTCGGCCGCCGTGAGCGTCTGGGTCCCACGCTTTGCAGCATCGAAAGCCTCAACCATGGCATTCACGTGTCTTGCTACTATAGTGGCAGCCTTCTCAGTTCCGAAATATGGGGCTCGATCTTCTTGCGCTTCCTTGTCGACGGAACGGGCATCCTGCAGCTCATTCGGAGGCCCGTGCTCGAGGACGCGGAAGTCGGACGTCGTGCCGTTTGACCCCTTCGTCGAGGCCGAGACGAGACCAGGGCGAGCGAACACCAGAACACTCACGACGGGCGCAAGGAGGCGACAGTAGCGCATGGTGGATCGCGACCGATTGCGGACGGTGACTGGGCACTGGAGCGCAAGTTGGAAAGTGAGTCGAGCGATGTGGATAATGGGGCGACCTGTGGAGGGTCGAGCAGAGCACTCGAACGGCTCGTCATTGGGCGAAGCATAGCTGCAACGTCAAGTCCGAGGGCGAAATCAGTGGGAACCGAAATCGTTGTGGTCTTTGTAGGAACAGCTCGTCAAGTGGGATAGATCCAGCGACGGTGTCCAGTTCCATCGGCGGACTCCGTCACGACCGAGTCGCTCTGACATTTGGAGGCGGTCCAGGGAACAAAAAGGCTGCGCCGAATCTGCGCGGCAGTTGCTCTCGTGCTGCTATTCCTTTCCCATCTTTGGCCGTATCTCCCGTCGGAAGAGCTTCAACAGCGCTATAACATTAGCCTTTCGTCTCGCCTTCATCCACATTGGCACAGCTTCACAAGCACATGTAGTTCCACGCTCGTAGTTGCTACTGCGCTGCAACGGCGGCTGTAATACCCCAACGTGATGGCAGCTCAAGGGCGTACATTAGGGCACATAGTGATCGCCGGTCGAGGCCTTTTCTTGTGGCAGGTTGGCGCAGTTCGCGGGCAAGCAGATCAGACCGCCGAGTTGCGAACGGGATGGGCAAAGTCGCTTGCACTTTGAAATGTTTTGAGCAGCATCTGACGGGTACGACGAGTCTGCAACATCGTGAGGACCGAGGAGAACGTAGAATTGGCGCAAGGCGACTTCTTTCTGCTTCCGGTCCACATGACGTCGACTTTATGGTCGAGATCGCTGGCTGTGGCTGATATTTTTGGGTTATGGCGATGCGCAGCAGCGCTAGAACTCGGTGCGAGTGATGGTCAGGGGGGCAGTCGCCATGACGCACCGAGTGCAGAGCATCACGCGAGTGGGAAGCTTTCTTGTCGCGTACTACTCGTACCGAGTGTCCGAATATTGGAGACTTTAACGAAGGCCAAAAACCCGATGTAGCGTCCAGTTACGCGGGTTTACAGCCGACGCAAAGGGGATCGGGCGAAGAACGCCACGGTCGGCTCGTGTGCGGACACTGCTCAGCATGTCTTTTCGTGCTACGTACTGGTCCAGCACACTGGCGAAGTTTCCACTTTGCATAGAGCGACTGGTGAAGAACAGAATGGACTGCAAATCACCGGCCAACGAAGACAAACGTCCGGCAGGGTCCGAACTTCAAGCTGTGCGAATGGATCGTCTTTAATCTCACCGATGACGGCAAGTCGACAGCGGAGACGCTGTTACGTTCGATCTCGGGCCTCGCGGTGTCAGCAAGTGGCAGGCGACACGTAGCACACTCTTCTTGGGCGACGGCGACCCTTGGCCATCCACTGGCAGGGACAGAAGTTGCTCGGTATCAATGGGATCAATAGAACGATGATGCGTTGCCGAAACGCAAATGTTGAGCTCAAGAGTGGCGATCACTAGACGGCTACTCTGCATCAGTTGTATCGCGACTGCTGCCACTGGACTGTGCCGTTCTGCAGTGCTTTGACCTTGTCAGGTCTATGGCCTGCAGCCCGATCTTCCGCAAAGGTTTCCGTTAGCATGCAGTCGCATCAACCAAGCGCGTCTCTTTTCTATTCAAGCTACTGGTCGTGTCACGGTGCTGTTCCGGCGACAGGCTTGGCATGATTCTGCCAACTCTGGATATCTGTGCCATACTTCAAGCAAATGGTCGCGACCAGATCGCCTATGTTGAATACCGCCAACGTTTGGTTGGTCCGTGGGATCCCTTCTCTAACTCAAGCAGCATTGTCGACCGACTTGGAGTATCCGGAACACTTGCACTCACGTGTTTGCATTTCCTCTGTCGATAGTGCACTTTACCGAGGGCAACGCAGCCCCTCCGTGGTCTGGAAACACACCGGTGTTGTGGACCCAGCACACAGGTGCTACGTTCACGTGAGTGTTGTACAGATGAGACGCTAGACGGTTGGCATGTCATTAGACGAAACAACAATGCGACGCTCAACAAGACCAACATCATCGCTGCGAAGCACTAAGCCGTAGCACCACAACGACAAATATCGGAACATCAGCAAGACAACAAACCAGACACTACCGACTCTTGCTGCCAAACGTCCCTCATGTCATTCATTTACCTCCCACAACTGCAAATGTGCCGACTCTTTGTAGTCAGGTGCTTGTACATCTGCATCATTTCTTGCAGAAGCGTAGCAGCTCGAAATCTTATTGGTTTTGCAGCGGTTGGACTAATGCTTGATTTTTAATTCCCAAATTTTCACGGTTCAGCTCAAGCCAGTCTTTTTCCCTTCGGGGCAGTCACGTCGAAGGGAATCCTCCCCTTGGGGAGCCGACGTGGTCGAAGATCTGACGCGGGCACGCTGCACTCGCAGTCGCGGGTGTGGGTGTAGGAGACCGACGGGTCGCGCAAGCGGCCCTAGCAGGGGTGTTTTACGGACTGGAGGCGTACCCCGCGCCACGTGTCGCCGCTGCGGCGAGCGCACACTCCACGTCAAGGGGCCGCGCAAGCGGCTGAAGGGGGCCACCATCGCAGATGGTTGAGCTCATCGGAGAGATATATGGCGGGTTGGCGCTCTCCACGCCACGCAGTCACTTCGGTGATCGCACTCCACGTCGGGGGCCGCGCAAGCGGCTGTAGGGGGCCAACATCGCAGATGGTTGAGCTCCTCGGAGAGATAGACGGCGGGTTGGCGCTCTCCACGCCACGCAGTCACTTCGGTGATCGCACTCCACGTCGGGGGCCGCGCAAGCGGCTGAAGGGGGCCACCATCGCAGATGGTTGAGCTCCTCGGAGAGATAGACGGCGGGTTGGCGCTCTCCACGCCACGCAGTCACTTCGATGATCGCACTCCACGTCGGGGGCCGCTCAAGCGGTCCCAAAGGGGTTTGTTGCCTTTTATGGCAGCATACCCGCGTTGTACGTGCTGCCGCTCCGGCGGTACGCATGTCCCCAGTCTACTTGGTCGCGCCAGCGGTCATGATTGACTCGTAGTTGGCTTCGGTAGGAGGGTCTCTGACCTCGTTGCCGTCGCCCCTGGCTCTACGGAGCCCTTTAGTTGTCGACCCGATACCCGGGCCGTACTTCTTGTCACACTTATCAGTCGTTAGTTATCATAATAATGGACGTACTTGACACCACTAATGCTTGATTTGCGTCACGACAAATTTAAGCACGCGGCCAGCTGAAACAGTCGCGTGCCGTTTCGCGTAAACGCCATGATCGTGAACATTGCCTCGCTCTGGCGCATCATGAAGTGATGGTCAATGTACGCGTCGAAGTCTTCGACGAAAAGTCAGATCTCACATGTTCTTATGAAGCGCTTTTGAAGGAGTGATCGTGGTTTCGTTGCAACGGGTTGATAAATAAAGGCGTTGGTGCATTAGTAGTACACCAATATAGTCAGAAGCCACTTAGTAGTCATGTTCTGAGTGAAACCTGTAAAACTCGAACTACGACATCGGTGTTTACCGTCGGCTCCAATTAATTATATACAGGAACGGCGAAAGGGGTCGTAAGTGTAACATTTCGTCCGACGACAAGCACTGTGTGTTAAGTTCCTCCGCGACCGGTGCAATACGTGGCTATAGGCACTACTCTGCACACAGTGCTCGTAATCCGCCACGTAATGGGGTGAGTCCGACACGAGTTATTGACACCAAATGTTGGTGTCAATGCGAATATAATTGTAATCAATAACATTCTCTAAAACTTACTCATTTAAGTGAATAACGATAGGAATATTACCATCAAAGCTAATATTCGGCACTGCACCACTCATTGGTCGATATAGGCCTTACATCAACCCACTAAACCACTAATCGCTGCAAGACGCGGGCAACGGGTGGTGAGCAGGTAGCTATAACCGAAAGTTGTAGCTTCGTATCGTCGAAGGAAGGCAAAAACGGTATAGATTTAGGGACTTTAACTATAGACTAAAATACAATCCTACTTTCCCTTCGACTTAGTGTGTACGTTTAGTGCACGTGTAGTGTCCCGAGGTTGCGAGGCACCTACTGACACTGTGGTCAGTGCGAGTAGCTTGTACTGTGTCGATACAAGCATCGTTGACCAGTTACACTAATAAGCGGACGCATGTACAAAAATTGCGCTAGTGTAGTAACGATTTGCTCGTGCGCGCAGTGTGCACAAATCAGTCGTGTAATAGCGGAATAGTGCTCGATCTGTAACTCGTTTTCCAAATCATCGCGACTGGAGTTCAAACGGACGCGTTGGCCTGAAGATTCATATGACAACAGTAATACCATTATAGTTGGTTCGACAGCATTTCGCGATCCACCAGACAGTAGCATTGACGTACATATGGACTTATTCTGCTCGAAACAAGGTCCGTATGATCTACTGGCATTTTGAAATCGTATTGCCGTGTTTCTGTCGGCACTGAACGCCATTTAATCTCAAGATACGGATTAGATGAACTTGGTAATGATGCAAATACACCGTATCTGCTAATTCGAACCTTATCCGTTCTTTTGTATAAATCTAGATGACTTATCCCCGATCACCATGTATTGCAATGATGTAACAGGGCACGCTCTTACCAACTACTGGCAATCCATTGTATGTATTTTTAATAAAAGAGTGCGTGCTCCGAGGGTCACGTACACGTGAGCGTTGAAGAAGCGCGAGATGTAGAGCTGAGAAAAGGTCGCTCAAAGTATGGGAAAAGTAGAACTGTATTTTGATATCGTAATATGTCTTTTGAGCAACTCTCTATGTCGTCGTCCAACTTGCTTCAACTACAATTTCCAATGTAGTGTTTTGGATCACCTCCCATTATGCGCGTCTAGCAGCGATTGGCAGAGATTTAGTCAATATCATGGCCTATATCAACCAAGGAGTGGAGCGGTCTACAATATTCCCTTGCAGGTAATTTTCCATCAGTATTTTCTTGGCCAGGAAATATTAGTGAACTTAATTTACTTAAATACAGTACACATTGATGAATTCATATATAAAAGACATG